CGCTAATGGGATCTGTGCGGTAATTAGAGAGCTTATTTATCAGCCTCTGATGGATCTGGGAAAATTGAATTCCCGGCCATCTGCAGCTGGGGAGGAATTCAATTTGGGGCAGTGCTCCGGAGCAGGGCCCGGGCAGAGCCGCCTCCCTGGGGGGGTTTGCTCTGGTTGCACAGGGACCTCTTATTTTTCATATATAAGAGGGTTCAGTGGCAGGATCTGACTCTCAGCCGGCGGGAAAGGGTCTGGGAATCATGGAGGGGGTCCCACCACTCAGCTGGGGAAACTGAGGCACGGCCCAGGGAAGCCCAGTGCCACCCATTCGATGGCTCCCCATGCTGGAAGGGTTTCAGTGCCGGTGTTTAAGGGGTTAGCGCCCGGTTTGGGGGTTCCCATCTCCAACCCCTTTGCCTACAGCCGGTCGCAAAGCCAGCCCCAGTACACCCAAAGGTGCCAGGCACCATCCTACCCAGTGTGTGGGTGACAGAGGGACGCGCAGGGACCTGCCTGAGCCAAAAAGCAGGAAGAAAATCCCCGCTCTGGCTGACACACAGCTGCCAGCGAGGATTTGCTTCTGGGGTTGGCAGCACCCCGCGAAGGAGCCGGGCTGGGAGCAGCCGGCCCCGCTCCTGCGCCAAGAACGGGGAGTTTTCGGCAACCAGCCCCATCTGTTCCCCTCCGCCTCCCCCCAGCAGCTCCCTCCCCAGCAGCCTCCCCCTCCACACCCGGGGAGCGGCTGGGGTAGGGATGCGACCGGAGTCGGCTCCAAAGATCCAGCCCCGTCCCCCAAGTTCACAGATTCACCCCCGAGAGGGTCACCCCAGAGCTGGTTTGGCTCCTCAGCTCATTTTAGGGGTGAGTGTTCCCGTGGTTGGGGGGAGTTTGGGGTCGGGGGGGCTTGGGTGACACCCGCATCCCACATATCAGTAGGAGATGGAGGAGAAGAGCCCAGTGAATTCACCCCTTTCTCCCCCCCGGCACTACCAGGGATGTCACTCTGTGTGTGTGTGTGTGTGTCCCCCTCCGTCACCTCCCCGCAAAATGTCCCAGCTCGGCTCCAAAAGGTCAAGGTCGGCCACGGTGTCACGTCGCGGCTGGGAGGGCGATGCGGCGCGAGAAATTCCTCCCCCTCCAGCAAACGCCAAAGGTCAAACCGCCCCCCCCCCCCCCCAAAGAGCCAGCTGCCCCCCAACCTACCTCCACATCTCCCAGTGCCACCCTGGGGTGCAGCTGGAGCACCCCCACCCCAGCTCCCCCCCACCTTGGGGTGCAACCAGAGGACCCTCACCCAGCTCCTCCACTCCTGGGGTGCAACCGGAGCCCCCCCACCCTGGGGTGCAGCCACAGCACCCCCATCCCAGCTCCTCCATTTCTGGGGTGCAACCGGAGCCCCCCCACCCTGGGGTGCAGCCACAGCACCCCCATCCCAGCTCCTCCATTTCTGGGGTGCAACCGGAGCCCCCCCACCCTGGGATGCAGCCACAGCACCCCCATCCCAGCTCCTCCATTTCTGGGGTGCAACCGGAGCACCCCCACCCTGGGGTGCAGCTGCAGCACCCCCAACCTCAGCTGGGCTCTGGGCTCTCCGTGCAGCCCCCCCAGGGCTGTGCCACCGTGGCCAGACCGTTTCTGCACCCCACCTTTGCTTCCAGATGCCCGGAGGTGGCCACAAGCCTGGTGCGATGCCGCGGGCCACGAGAGAGCAGGGACCCACCACCTGAACCCCACATCCCCCCCCCCCCAAAATAAAAAGGCAACCCCGGGGCACACGCCGTGCCGGCACGGCCTCATCCTGCACAAGGAGCTGGCGCCCCTTGGAGCGGCTGCACAGAAAGAGTTTTCGCGGGTGGGGACCCCCAAACTGGGGACCACTAAGGCGCACCCATCCACCCCAGTTTGGGGGTCCCCCTTTGCCCCCTCCTCTCCCCGGCCCTGCGGCTCGGCGGGGTGGGGGGAGGAAGCTGGCCCTGCCCCGCGTCATGGAAAGAAGCGCTCCGGCCGCATTGTGCGCCGCGGCCCTTTTCCTCCCCGTTACAGCCCTGCTGATGTGTTTGTGTCGGCCGGAGGAAACGCCGGCAGCGCCGGGACAAAACACCCGCACACGCGTGTCCCCCCACACCGCCCTCGGTTGGGGGGGGGGGGTGTCCCGTCCCCCGTCCCCGAGCATGGCAGGCCCCACGCCTGGGGAAACTGAGGCAGGAGCAGCCTCGTACCACCAGCCCAGGCACGCCGAGCCCTGCGAATTGGGTGAAGGAATCACTGAGGGAGGATGAGGAGCAGGGGAGGGGGTGGCGGTGCCCGAGTGTGGCCACCCCCCCCCAGCACCCTGGGCACAGCAGGGCCCCCCCCCCAGCCCCCCCAGCTCCTTCCTGCTTCGCCAGGCTGCGAACACGTATCAATTAGGGTTTGATTCATCAGCCCGTCAGCGGTAATTGCATTGGGGCCGGCGGCTGGGAGGGAGAGGAGGCACAGACATCTTCAGCCTCACCCCACAGTGGGTTGGGGGGGGGGGGGACGGGATGACAACAAAACCCCAAGCCCTATATACCCCCTATATACACCTACATTCCCCCCCACCCCCCCCAGGCTTGGGACTGGGGGTCCTAAATTCCACCAGCACCCAGGGCACTGCTGGGGACCCCTGGAGCATTTCGGGGGGGGGTGTGGCAGGATCTGTCCCCCGCACGTCCCTGGTCATGTCCCTTTGCCCCGTGCTGCTGTGGCTGGGGAGAGCTCTGCCCCATCACATGTTGTCCCCCCCCTTCCTCCTTCCTCCTCCTCCTCAGTGCCACCCCAGCAGCTCCAGACAAGGTCAGTGGTCCAGGTTAAAATGAGCCCCCCCCCCCCCCCCCCCCCCCCCACATCTGGGTGGCTTTTGCTCCCCCAGAACTGGGGGTTGCAGCTCCCTCCACCCCTCCGGGTACCCTCAGAGAGGGGTGGGGGGTGCTGCAGCGGGGGCTCAGTGCCCCCCCAACTGTAAGCACCCTCCTGGGTGTGGGGGGGTCTGGGACCAAGAGGAGTCACAGGGACCCCCCCACACCGCAGAAAGGGCCTCTTGCCCTGCCCCCAATAAGGAGTCTCCCCACCCTGTCCCTGAGCCTGGTGACAGTTCCGATGTCCCCAAACTTCATCCTGCCCCTCCCAGGGGGCTCAGTGCCCCCCCCTCCCCGAGCCCCAGCCCACCCCCCCACCTCGGGCGCGGGCCCCCCCCAGCTCAGCTCTTTTCCCTCCGTCAGCAGCTTTCAGCTGGTTCCCGGAGAGCATTTCCTTCCCTTAATTTCCGACCTTGAACCCGCAGCCACCCACCGCCCTCCTGCCCAGCCTGAGCCCACCGGAGCGGGGCTGTGCCCCCCCATTCCGTGTGTGTGCGTGTCCCTGGGGCACGCAGAGGGGACCACAAACGCGGCACAACAGACAGACGGACAGTGAGAGGGGGGTGAATCCATCCCCCCCCCAAAAAAAACACCCCTTCCCCAAATTCGGGTGCATTGGAAGGCGCAGGAGCACAAAGGACCCGATGTTTTCCCATTTACATAGTGGGGGGCAGCCTTTCCCCCCCCCCTCCAAAATAAAATGGGCAGCTTGCACAGGGAGGCCAGGGTGTGGAGGAGGGTGCTGCTGGGGGGTCTGATGGGACACCCCCCCCTCACTCCCCCAAAGGACCCACAGTGGGGCATGCTGCCTGCCCCCCACCTCAGCCAGGGCTGCCCACAGCCAAGCTTTTTGGCACCCCCCGCCCCTTCAAGCGGAGCAGGGCAGGGGGACAGGGGGGAGCGGGGACCCCAACTCCAGCACCCCGAGACCCAGCCACATCACAAACACAGCACACCCCCAAAACCCTCAGCACACAAGGGACACCCCCCCCGGGGCACACCGGACTCCCAGCTCTCTCCATCCCCAGCCCTGAGGCCACTGACCCCCGGGGGTCCCTATTTCCTCGGGGGGGGCTGGGTAGAAACCCCCCCCTTTCCCCCCCCCCCCCCCCCGGGGTCGCTTACAGTGTCGTGGAGGGTCCCCATGGCGCGGCCCCGGCTCGGCTGCGGGCCCGCCGGGACCGGGACCGGGACAGGGACCGGGGCCGCCCGGTCCAGCCCATTTCCTCCTTCCTGCGTGGCTGTGGGACGGGGCGGGGGGGCGACGACGATGGGGGACGGACACGGAGCCCAGCGTATCCCCAAGCCCCGGGGGGGGACACACACACGACACAGAGACGCCGTTGCCCCCCACCTCCCCACTGCCTGCAAGGCACCCCCGGTGAGACACTGCCCCCCAGCCCCCCTGCTTCGGGAGACACCGAAGGGGGGGAGCGGGGGGGGGGGGGGGGGGGAGACACACGACATCAGCGCCCTTTCCCGCTCTCCCAGTGCTCCCCATCCCGGCCAACTCCCCCCCCCTCCCCCCCCCGGGTCGGTCCCACAGCTCCGTGCCTCAGTTTCCCCACCGGGCAGGAGCCCGCCCCCGGTTCTTTTGGGGGGCTCGCAGCCTCCCCCCCCCCGCCAAGGAGGGGATATCAGCGGGTGCAAGTGGGTTCGGGAAAGCCCCCCCCCCCCTCCCCGCGACTGAGAGCTCAGCCCCGGCGCGGCGTGGGGGGGTCCCGCAGCCCCCGGTCCCACCGCACCCCCACCCCGGGCAGCGGGACCGGGAGCCCAGGCTCCTCCCCCCCCAGCGCTCCCAGTTCTCCCCCCCCCAGTATCAACCCGGCGACCCCCCGACAACCCCGGGACCCGGTGGGGAGTGGGCTCGGCAAGGCTCGCCCGGTCCCCGCTTCCCCGGCTCCCGGGTGGGAGGGGAGGCGGTTGGGGTGGGGGTCTCAAGTGGGAGGGAAGGCGGGTCGGGGGTCTCGGGTGGGAGGGGAGGTGGGTTAGGCGTCCCGGGTGGGAGGGGACGCGGTTGGGATGGGGGTTCCCGGGTGGGAAGGGAGTCGGGGGCCGCGGGTGGGAGAGGAGTACAGGGGGTACGCCCGTGGGGTTTGGGGGTTTGGTGGTGGTGGGGGGGGTCCCTACCTGTAGCGCCTCGGAGCCGGGCACGGCGTCCTCCACCTTCAGGAAAACCTGCTGGCCCCGTCTGAAAAATTGCAGGAGGGCGGTGAGGAGATGCTGCAGCCCCAGCCCCATCCCGGCTCGGCTCGGCCCGGCTCGGCCCGGCTGCGCTCCCCGCCCCCGGGCAGGGGCCGCCGCTCCCCGCCCCGCTCCGCCCCGCGCCCCGCTCCGCACCTGCTGCGCGGGGTCCCGAGGGGCCGGGGGGGGCGAGGGGGAAAGGGAGGAGGGTCCCCCGTGGGGGGCGGGGGGGGTGGTGGAGGTCGGAGCATCGCTCCGCGGGGTGGGGAGGGGGTCGGGGTGGGGGTCCCCGGGGTGGGGGTCGGGGAATCGCTCCCCGGGGTGTAGGGGGGGGTCCCGGTGGGGGGGGGAGTCAGGGAATCGCTCCCCTGTTTGGGGCGGGGGTCGGGGTGGGGGTCCCCGGGGTAGGGTGGGGGTCGGGGAACCGTTCCCCGGGGTGGGGTGGGGGTCGGGGAATCGCTCATCGGGTTGGGGTGGGGGTCCTGGTGAGGGGCGGGGGTTTGGGTATCGCTTCCTGGAGTGGGGCGGGGTCGGGGTGGGGGTCCCCGGGGTCGTGGAATCGCTCCCCGGGGTGTGAGGGGGGAATGCGGTGGGGTGGGGGTCGGGGAATCGCTCCCCCGGCTAGGGTGGGGGTCGGGGAATCACTCCCCAGTGTGGGGTGGGGGGCAGGGTGTGGGGTGGGGGGCAGGGTATCACTTAGTGTGGGGTGCGGATCAAGGTGAGGGTCCCGGCAGGGGTGTGGGGTCCCGAGGTGGGGAGGGGGTCAGGGTATCACTCCCCAGTGGAGGGTGGGGGTGCTCCCGCTATGGGGTGGGGGGCTGCCAGTGCTTTCCTATGGGGTCTGGCATCCGGGGACGCACACACACACCCCCCCCATGTTAAACCTTCCCCTTATGGGGTTTGGGGTAGAGGGTTTGGGTGGGGAGGTGCCTCCCCTGCACCTTCCCCTCCCTCTTGGGGAGGGTTCACCCCCCAATTCCCCCCCCATGCCATCTCCAGCAAAAGCCCCCCCCCTTTTAAGGGCTGTGCCCCAGGCTGGGGTTGGGGGTCCCCCCAGATCCTCCCTGGTCGGGCACTGGAAGCCTCACCCCCTTTTTAGGCCGGGATCCCTGGCTCTGGGGTGACTCTGCATGGTACAGAGTGACCCCCCCCCCCCGCACCCCCTCCAGCCCCAGAGGATATTGGGGATCTCCCACCCACCCCCTGGAGTGGAAGAGCACCCCCTCCCCATTCTTGGATAGGGAGGGACCCTCATCTGGAGAAGACCCCACTTGGGGACCCCCCCCTCATATATTCCCCCATCGCCTTGGGTGAGAAGTCCCCCCTCCCCAAAGTCTCCCACCCTCCCCCAGGGCCAAGCACTAGGATTTGGGGGGGGGGGGGGGGGGGGGCTGCCCCCCCTGCATGGCCTGAGCCATACAGGGACCCCAGGGAGAAACGAGGTCCCCCTACATCCCATGGGGGCCACGCCTCAGCTCGGGGAGCACACACCCCCCCCACCCCCAAATAATAAAAAAAAAAAACAAAACACAGGGGACGGATCCACAGCTTAACAGCTTCACGCAGGGCAAGGAGCTGATGGGGACCGTGGACACGACGTGTCAGCCACGTGCCACGCTGCGGGGGGGGGACACACACACAGGTGGCGTGACCACGTGAAAACACAAATAAATGAGAAATAAGAGGCGATCGAAGGAGATTATTGTGCCTCCTCCTCCTCCAAACCCCGTGAACCCCTTGGCTCGCCTCATCACGCACATCAGCTAAATTGGAGCTGTCCCCCACACACACACTCCATGACCCTGGGGTTCAGCCCCACGGCAGAGGGGTGTCCCCAAGACCTCTGCTCCACTCCTGGGCGCTAACGCAGCCACGTATCAGCCATCAGAGAAGACACACGCGCGACCCCGGGGCAGCTGCAGGTGCTGCCCCATGCACAGGGGAAGCTTTGCCTGGAGTAAAAGCGCAGGTCCCTGGTTTTTGTGTGTCCCCCCCTCCCAAACCACTGGGAGCCCCAAAGGGTCCTGCTGCTCCCCAGGGCTCTGTGGGGATGCACTGGTGGCTCGTAGGGGCTCAACCCTTCTCGCATCTTCTCACAACCCAAAGGGGTGGGACGCTGCTGAACCCACAAAAGCAGAATGTCCCCAAAAGGTGGAAGGATAAATTCCTCAGCACCCCCCCCCCCCCGCCCCGTGAGCACCCCGTGGGGACACGGGGTGACAGGGAAATGTCCTGGGACCAGGCCACCACCGAGCACCCCCCAGGCTGGGACACAGCCCCCCCCCCGGGTTGCGCTGGCACCTAAGGGTGATGTGGCCACGGGTGCAAGGAGAGGAACCTTCCCTCCCAGCCACGGAGGAAAAAAAACCTTTAGAAAGGCTCTTCCCCCCCACTCCAGCCTCAGTTTCCCCTCTGGCCGAGTGGGAGTGGGCCGGATGCGGACACCAGTGGGATTTGTTTCCATGGCAATGAGGGATAAGAACCGCCGGGTGCAGCAAACGGGATTGGAGCCACGGCCGCCGACCACCCCTTGGATTCGGGGAGCAGCACCCCAGTGCTGGGTGGGGGGTCAGGAGGGGGAGAGGGGCAGGGACCCAGCCCCCGTGGGTGGTGACGTGGCACCCACGGGTGGGGAAGGGCCCCACGGGGGGGGCTGCTCCCTGGTGAGTCACCCTCCAGCTGGGCTATAATTAGAGATGGCAGCGAAGGGGAGGCGCAGGGATCTTCATCAGCCGCTGGCCTTAACGAGGCCACAGCAGCCAGGCACCATGTCTTGGGGGGGCTCACGGGGCAGGGAGGGGGGGCTCAGGTGAAGCCAGCCAGCACCCGGCTTTCAAACCCCCGGGGGGCTCCAGCCCTGCACCCCGTGTCACCTCCCACAGGGCAGGGGGTCACCAAGCCCATCCCCCCCCCTGACTGGGCCACCACAGCACCCACCAGGTACCCCAAGATTAAGGCCGGGGGGGGGGGTCACAGGTCTGGGGACACCCCACTGAGGTGACACCCCAGTATAGTATCAGCCCACATCCAGCCCAGACAGATCTTGCCAGCTCTGCATGATGCAGATTTCCCGTGGGGCTAGCAAATTTCCCCATGGGGCTAGCAGATTCCCCGTGGGGCTGGCAACCAGCAATCACACACACCTCCCCGCCACCCCACCCCCCCCCCCAAATTGCTGGGTGCTCTCCACGGCAGCTCACGGGCTCACGGGGTGCTGGGTCACTGCTGAGCCCACACAAGGACATGGTGTGGGGTGTCCCCGGCACCCCTGTCCCCAACTGCTCGCCCAGGGGAGCCTGGGGAGGGGGACACGGGAGTGCAGGGATATGGGGGTGCCTGGGGACAGGGGAGGGGGACACAGGGGTGCAGGGACACGGGGCACAGGGACATGGGGCCACAGGGACACAGGGCTGCAGGGACACAAGGGTGCAGGGCCATGGGGTGCAGGGCCACGGGGGTGCAGGGACACAGGGGTACAGGGACAGGGGGTGCAGGGACATGAGGATGCAGGGACACAGGGGTAAAGGGAAATGGGGGCACAGGGACATGGGGCTGCAGGGACACGGTGGTACAGGGACACAGGATGCAGGGACATGTGGTGCAGGGACACAGGGACATGTGGCACAGAAATACAGGGACAGTGGGACACAGGGGCGCAGGGACATGGGTTGCAGGGACACAGGGTGCAGGGACACGGGGCCATAGGGACATGGGGCTGCAGGGACACAGTGGCACAGGGACACGGGGTGCGGGGGCACAGGGGTGCAGGGACATGGGATGCAGGGACATGTGGTGCAGGGACACGGTGGCACAGGAATACAGGGACACAGGGGTGCAGGGACACGGGGTCACAGGGACATGGGAGTGCAGGGACACAGGGGTGCAGGGACACAGGGGTGCAGGGACACGGGGGTGCAGGGGCACAGGGACACAGGGGTGCAGGGACACGGGGTCACAGGGACATGGGAGTGCAGGGACACAGGGGTGCAGGGACACGGGGGTGCGGGGGCACAGGGACAGAGGGGTGCAGGGACACGGGGGTGCAGGGACACAGGGACACGGGGGTGCAGGGACACGGCGCCGCAGCACCGCGGTTGCATTCTCAGCCAGCGCCGTGCAACAGAGCTCATTTCCCATCTGGCTTGTTAATGACCCGCCATAATTAGGAGATGCTCCGGCTCACTGGCTCACGCAGCCCCCCAGGACTGGCGTCCCTCGGAGGGGAATGTCACCGTCAGTCGGGGGGGGGGACGACATGTGGCATAGCCCCCCCAGCCCTGGCACAGGGCCGGGAGCTGCTGGGGAATAAATCCGGGTGCTGGAGGAGGTCAAGGAGCATTTCCTAGCAGTGCTGCCGATGGGTCCATCCTGCCCCAGGGGATTTTTTTTCCCTGTTTCCGACTTGGGGTCGATAGATCGGTGCTGCCCACCCTGCCTCTCCCTGGAAACTTGGGGTGCCCACCCGTCTTCTCCCTGGAAACTTGGGGAGCTCACCCTGCCTCTCCCTGGAAACTTGGGCTGCCCAGCCTGCCTCTCCCTAGGGATTCAGGGTGGCAGCCTGCCAGGCACCCCAGCCCTGCTTCAGCTGGAGGGTGTTTAATGGCATAGGAGGGAGCAAAGTTCATGCAGGTTAGTAAATATTAACCCTTATTTCATTAAAAAAAAAAAAAAATCACAAAAAACCACCAGGAGGAACCCCCTTTGGGGTTTAGGACCCACAAACTCCACTTTTCCCTCGGAAGCACTGGCATCAAAGTTGAGAGATTTGGGGGGGGCTGCTATGAAGCGAGGCTGAGCCTTCGAAGCCCACGTAGCCCCAAAAGACCAACATCTGCAGAAACCTGCCCCCATCCCCCCCCCCCCCCCTCCGCCCCGAGCAGCATCTCTGGGGCTAGTGGGAGCACTGGGATGGCAGTGGGGCTAGTGGGAGCGCTGGGATGGCAGTGGGGCTAGTGGGAGCGCTGGGATGGCAGTGGGGCTAGTGGGAGCACTGGGATGGCAGTGGGG